AAAGAAGTTTCCCTGTAGCATCAACTCGAATTTACAGAGAATAAAAGACAAGTTGTAATTTACATGATACTTATTTAAGAGAATTCCAACAGAAGATGGAAAAAAAGAGTGAAAAAGGAAATGAAATTAAATTCATTACATATTGAAAACTGTGTAATTACTGTGCTTTCAGTGTCTCCGTTTCGGCTTCAGAGTATATTCGGGGAACACTTGATGATATCAATCCGAAGATAGCCAAAGACAAGTTCCCAATAAACTCCAGCATCAACCCAACTGTACAAAAAAAAGAGATGTCAGATGCAACAACGTATGCGTCACTCATAGAATTCTGAATTTTAGTCCATCCGCTTCTAAACAGTACACCCAGCTCAGTTTATGAATATCGCTTTGCTGTCTCGATTACGACATAATTCAGTTTTTTTTAAAGTTCGGCTTCATCGTTGTTGTATGTACTGCAAACACTACCATGTTTACTATTGCTAGCACAGTTTACAACTGCCTTGAAGTTTACAATCTTTACTTGAAGTTTACACAATCGCCACAACAACACAATTACAAATCCCATACGATGAAAAATCAAGCTTTCAGCGATCGCGCCGGGCAGTTGCAATAAGCTGCATCATGGCCAGGACGGCCTCTTCTTCCAGGTCTTCCCGGCAATCCGTCTGTCCCTGGTGAACCTGGTGCTCCGGGAGGGCCCTGAATACCCTGTTTACCTCTCTTCCCTCTCTTACCATCTTCTCCAATATCTCCTTGATTACCCTGGCAACCTGGTGGTCCTTTCGGACCCCTCCTTCCAGGAGTTCCAATTTTCCTCTCCGTATCTTCACCTGGTGGCCCTGTTCTTCCAGGGGGGCCTGGAACGCCATCAGGCCCAAAATCTCCAACAGGGCCCGGAGGGCCAGGTGGACCATCAGCTCCAGGTGAGCCATTCTTTCCAGGTTTACCATCCACCCCGGGATAGCCCATTTCGCCTGGTTGGCCGGCTGGGCCAGGTGGTCCAGCTGGACAAGTGATGCAAACAAACGTATTTGGCACTGGGCACTGTCTAATTTCATAAATCGGCGGTGTTTGGTAATCATGTCCTGGTGGTCCTGGTGTTCCTGGCGCTGAAATGACTATATTTTAGCTAAATTTTGCAGTCGAAACAGCTTAAATTTAAGAATTAGACGCAGCATTTTAAATAACTGTAATGATTTTAGCACTCAGTTTCCAGTAGAACCAGAAGTAACCTCTATTCCGCTAATCACTTTTTGCGTTTTTTCCTGCCGTGCTTCATTACATGTGATTCTTTTAAGAGAGATTTTTAGAAGAATTTACTGCTTTACGATTGCTCCACATTATCCCTTGAGTGATGGGTTTGTCTCCTTTCTAATCTATCTCTCCCTATTTAAATTTTGTGGCTCGTGATTAGATTTTTGGCGAGCCTGTGAATTTATCTTTCTGCACAAAATTTGTGCTTTATCACCTCATTTTCACGCAAAAGAAGGGTTTCTTCCTTTACTGCCCTGGATCATTGCGGCTGCCTCACAGA